AATACTATAACAATACGCATGGCTTATAGTATACTCTAACATTAAGTTAACGTTTCGTATACAGCTATACACTAAGCATTGAGCACATACAATGCCTTTAGTGCTCGCAGAGATAATTCTGTCTTCAAATTCATTCCATTCGAGATGCAAAATAAAAGTTATACCTACCAAGATATTAATGAAACCTAATTTCATGCAGTATAACCTAGTGATCACAAGTAAATGCTTATCTCATTAATGAATTATCCAAGCAGCAAGAACTCAATAATGACCTACCAAAGTCTGCAAAACCTATCTGTTTGCTCAAAAGTTATCGTGTGCTTTATGAGTGCAAAACAATATAAATAAGTTACGGGAAAATCATAGCAAATCGTAATAATCCATTGGACCAAGCGAAGAACATGAAAATAAGTACTCAAGGTTAGGAGAAGAAATCTTAACAGCTTTTATTGATAATATTTGTTTGGTCTGCCTCTCCATGAAGAGGTTCAGAGCCTTACAATGGTGTTTTTTCTTCCCATAAGATGGGTATGTTTTTCTCTTCTCTCTCTCTTTTGTCAATAGTGGTCAAGAAGCAGCCCCCCTTTTCTAGGGTTCCCTCTCTTGGTATTTATAGCTGTGAGCTTCGTGAGCTGGCAATAAGTGGCCGTGACCACGTTGGGATTTCGCCTTTATGGTGGCGGATAGGCCATGGCCTTGCTGATCGAACCAGATGCGGGTTGAATATCGTTAATTCTGAGTGGTTGTGCCACTAATTGATCATGAATTAGCTTAAGACGGGATTAGCTTCGTTAATTATCGTGGGGTCGGATTCTGACCCATACAGTTAGTCCCTAGTCGGGCCTTGGCCGAGCTCGATGAGTGGATTCCATCGACTGTAGTTTGAGAAACTCGGATAGGGAGGTCGACTGTTGCTTCGGTCGAGGCCGTCTCTTTGGCGATGGCCCTTAGCCTTGTAGTACTTTGTTATTGTGCTATCAAGTCATCGTTCGATCGAGGCCGAACTCTCCTCCTTGGCGAAGGCGCTTGACCTTTTAACTCACTTCGAGTGAGGTCGAGCTTCATTGTGCTCTGATCCTTACGTTTGTTGTGGGTGCATACCCGTCGACCATGGTGGATGGGTCGTATGCTGTGCGGCCGAGGGGAGTGAGGGCATGCTTGATACATGTTTGGCGATGTCAAAAAATTTCTAGGGCGCAAGGAGCATCTCCTCGGCATTCATAGGTCGTTATAACCATTTCGAGGGCGAGACGCCGATGGGTGATTGCAAGGCTGCTTTATGGAACCTGCCATAATGACGCACATTCCTATGGAATCGAACCGGTGTGCGGTTGGTCATGTAGTTAATGGTGGCTGTTGGGGTGCATGAAGGCCACTTGTGTTGCCTATAAATAAAGGCTGAGGCATTCATTTTTTTTATTCTCATTGTTTGTCTGAGGGAGATTCTGAAGAAGCTTTTCTTACTGCTGTTTCACCTTCGTCTTCGTCCCCCAAACTTTGTTTCTTTCTCGTTATTGAATCAACAATGGCAGGCATTTCTTCCCAAAACGTTCTTCCGACGGATCTTCCGGTTAACTCACTGGTGTCTGAGGGGCCATTTCCGGCAATGGCGATGCAGAACTGGTGGAGACCGGTGAGGCTCCGTCGGTTGACGAGATAGTACCTCTGCCCGGAGGTCCGATTACTGATTTCACCGCCGATGGTGGGGAGGATCAGGTGGATGAAGCCCCATTACTGGGGGAGATTGGGATGTCCCGACTACGGGGGCAGGGGGTCATCCCCAGCTATGCTGACGTCGTTCTCGCTAGAAGCGAGGAGAGGGTCCACACCGATCGTATGGGATACTGCGTCTTTTACGCCTATCCCTTCAAGTTGGGGTTTAAGCTCCCACTCCCAATGCTAGTGGTTGATTTCTGTCGTTATTACTGGGTATGCCCGGGTCAGCTTACTCCTTCTCTTTATAAATTATTAGCAATGCTCATCAAATACGCAGAATTGGCTGGTAGGGAGGTCACGCTGCAGCATGTGCTTAGCCTCTACGCTCCCCAGAGAGTTCGTGGTACCATGATTCGAGCGTGCCCTCGCGGGACGAGGGGCCTGACTGTGAAGCTGGATGATGAGGTCGACCCTCGCCCTTTCGAGCACTTCTTCTACATCAGGACTGGACATTTAGTGGCGTGCTCTACTGGATTCCCAGAGGCTTGGAATCATGCACGTAAGTTTTCTAATCGTCGAATTCCCTTTTCTGCCCCTCCTTACGTCTTGTGCTCATAAACGTTAACTCGTATCAATTTTGTAGCCGAAAAGTTGCCGCCGGCTCCGTTGGCTGGGATTCGTGAGTGGGTTGAGGCCGTGCTCCCCCATACGGTGGGGATACGCACATGGGCGTCTTTCTGGGAGAGGCATGGCCGTAGACCTGTGGCAGGTAAGAAAAATTGACTTCTTCCTCTGTTCCGCTTTGTTTCGACACTATTCCTCAACTTTGTTTTTCTGTGATCAGGGAGGGCACGCCGCGTCAGGGCTCCTCAGTTGGCCTTCCGTCGGCCGGGTGCAGTCGCTCGACTTACTGCGGCGCCTGTGTCGCGCTCAATACCGAGGGCGGCATCAGTTGAATCTTCAGCGGTTCCTTCTCCAGCACGGGCCGCGCTTCGGGACGAGGGGCCATCGGGGGTTGTGCGCCCTAGGGCGGAATCACCATCAGACGGGGAGGAGGAGAGGCCCTTGATAAGGCGTAGGGTTGTGTTTACGCCGGCTCCTCCTGTGGTAATTAATTTGGACTCTCCTCCGACGGATGCGGAGAGGGGTGCGGTCGCGGCGCCTGCTCTTGAGGGTGGACAGACAATGGGGGTTGTCCTGGCTGGCTTAGGCCATGAGGATGCCGTCGCTTCGGCGACTCAGTCGGTGGTTCCAGTCGCTGAGACGGGAGGTAGTTCCTCAGCGGCTGGTAATGTTGGTGAGTTAAGCACTCCTTTGGCGGCTGCGGCGGGAGGTTCCGCCTCGCCGGCGGCTGAAGGAGGAAGAGATGCTGTAGAGGGTGAGTACGAGTCTGAATCCGACTTGGACCCCGACGACGTCCGTATGTTCCAGGAGGGCTTCACCAATTCACCGGTGCGCGCAGAGGGGCGGTCTCGCTTCGTCGAGGTTCCCACGGAGCTGAACTTATCTCCAAGGGAGTAGCTTGGTCCCGCAGTTTGAGCTGCTATGCTCGGAGGCCGAGAATGCGTCGTTGAGGGGCGTTACGGATGTCGGACTGATGAATGAAGTGGCCGTGATGGGCTTGAGGGTATGTACTATAACGTCGGTTCGCTTCTTCTTTGCCTTAGTTTGTTCTTTATCTTAATCGTTGTCTTTGCTTTGCAGTCTTATTTGTTGGAGGTGGAGAGCATCCGTCGAGCCAACGTCCGCTCGGGGATATTTTTGCGGGCGCTGGAGAAGTACCGCCGCTACCGAGATCGGTGCCGAGAGATGCGCGTGCGCTTGAGGAATGATCCCCGTAGTCGGACCTTGGTCGAGGAACTGGCGAGGCGGGAGGTACAGATGCAGCAAGCACTTGGCAGAGCGAGTGCTCTCGAGGAGCAGCTCCGGCGGAAGGATGAGGAGCTCGAGGCGGGGAGGAGGGCTGCAGCTGAGTGTGAGCGCCAGGGCCAGGCTAAGGCGGCGGAGGACGCTGCGACATGGAGCGGGAAAGTGACTGCGTTGGAGGGTGAAGTCGCGGTATTGAAGCTTCAGGTGAGGGATGCCTCGTCGAGGGCTGGGGCGTTGACGGAAGCTATCCGCGTGCACGAGTCCCAGCGGGCGTTGGAGAGGGCTACTGCGGCCTTTAGAGAAGCGAGTCTCGAGGAGCGGATCGGTGTCTTTGAGCAGGACGCCCAAGTCATGGCGGACTGGATCACAGCCTTAGAAGAAGAGAATCAGCGCCTACGGGATCAAGCCGCTTCTTCCAGCCAGGCTCGAGAACTTTGGGTCTTTGCCGAGGCCCACCGTGATGTATATAAGAA